CCGACTAATATGTTTACACATTTGAGCACATTTAAATATTTTTGTTATTATTTTTGCTCAGGCGTAATTCCGGCTCATTCGGACATGGCATCGATGTCGAAAGTTATGGCTACACAAGCCGACGATGCGGAATGAATCGCTAATGAACAACAAACTCCTAAGAAGTTGACAAATTGGAGTAAGCCATGGCAGCATCCATCTACTATTGACTCTTTTTTTAGTCACATTATTTTGGCTCCTCACATATAATACTAACATCAGAAAAAAAAAAAACATTTGTACCGTCGACCTACTCACTCTTCAAATCACCACTGCACGTCACGCTTCCCTGCAGTTCTCTCTCTCCTACCATGACGCGATTCAAATCTCAAACCCTAACCCTAGCCCGCGATTTCTCCTTGTCCGGCATCATAGCAAGGCCACCGCCATCGCAGCTCCCCTTCCTCCGACCTAAGGCGGGGTAGCTGTTGGAGTTAGCTTTGGGGATCGGATCGGAGGCAATCACCGTCAAAGTTGACAAGGAGGTCCTCACCATGAAGAGTCTCCAGGACGCGATCCAGAGTTTCGTCATCAAGAAGGCTGAGCCTGGGTGGCTCCCATTTTCCCCTGGTGCTTCATACCGAGCTCCCCCTTCTCCAGAGAGCCTCACTGAGTCGGATCCATTCGATCGACTCGATAATCTGCTCACGATGGAAGAGAAGCTTTTTTGTACTCTTCCTATTTTGTGGATGGTAAGGGTTTCTTTTTGTTATGAGTTTGGAGCATTTCCTGCGTTTGGTTATTTATGAGCTTCATGTTGCTGTCTGAAAAGCTCACGATGATCATCATTAGAACTTCGACGGAAATTAGGTTAGTTCGTAGAACCGAGGCTCGAGATACCAGTTTTTATTAGAGAAATTTGCATACATGCCGCACAATTATTATGTGTTTATTTGATTGTTACACTTAGAACATAAACCTTGGTGTCATAAACCTAACCTATGCATGAAAAGATATATTTCACTTCCAAAAAGATGGTGATGGTGGCATTTTTGATGTGATGGTAAAGATTCGAGTGGTATGCATCTGAATATGAATGTATAGATGCTAGATATGTAAGTACATAAGAATTGTGCGGTATGTATGCAAATGCACCTTTTTATGATGATCAGGCTCGAGCAGGAGGAATCATAAGAATCACAAAATAGATCCATAGAACATAAACAGGCATGCCATGGAGGTTGCATTATAGATCAACAAAATTGGTCAGGATTTGTGTGTATGATTCTGTTAAATCAATACATAATGTAATAAAGCTGAGATCTTTTTTACTTTGAAACTGTCATTTCCCATTTGCAGTTTAGAAAAACAAGATAATAGATGGAGGACTACAAATTAGGGGTGGAGAATGTTGCATTGATAGTGAGAAGATGAAACATAGGAATGCAATGAAATTGAAAAGTTCATTAATTTGTCCAATGTTATTCATACATGTTTATTAATTATTTTTTAAAGTACTATTTATTATTTGCTACATTTTTATTTATTTATTTATCTATTTGGAGGAAATTGAGCGCTCAAACCCAATACAATGGAATATTTCATTTTGCTTCCCGACTAATATGTTTACACATTTGAGCACATTTAAATATTTTTGTTATTATTTTTGCTCAGGCGTAATTCCGGCTCATTCGGACATGGCATCGATGTCGAAAGTTATGGCTACACAAGCCGACGATGCGGAATGAATCGCTAATGAACAACAAACTCCTAAGAAGTTGACAAATTGGAGTAAGCCATGGCAGCATCCATATGCTATTGATTCTTTTTTTAGTCACATATAATACTAACATCAGAAAAAAAAAACAACATTTTACCCATATATATATATATATATACACACATATTGTCTTCAATCTACTTCAAATCAAATAAAAAATATGAAATCCTAAGATTATTTTACGGTGAATCAAACAATTCGAAATTTCAAATACATTATAATCATAATATTATGTAAATTTTTTACATTGCATTTTATTTACAGCAAATCAAACGGCCCCAAGCCTTTTCATGACTAATGCTATCAAATTTTTTTTAGATAATAGAAAAGGATTTATTTGGCTTATTAATTTTAATTGATTGAATTATTAAAGTGATAGTTTATATGTTGATGAATAAAAATAATCAAATAGAGAAAAGAATAGAGCTCATATAATTATTTAGTAAATAAATTTGTTGTCAATTTTAAATGAGTTTTCTTTTTTTCAATAAACTTATTTATAAATTTTAAATTATATTTTTTTATGATCATAAATAAATCAAGCATCAAGCTATTCAAATATGTTACTTTATTAGTATTAAATTTATTTGATTAATCAATGAAGTGATCATAATTAAATTTTCATCAAGTTAAATCATGAGTAATCTGTTGAGCAAGTTTGTTCATTTGCAATTGAGGCGAGCTTTACACATTTAATTATTTTACATCAATATTTAATTGTTAAAGAAAAATATTTTTCAAAATCTAAAAATTATTAGAATTTTTTTATTTGGCTCAAAATTTTGATTAGCCAAAATGGCTAAGAGTCTGTTTGGGGCAGCTGTAACTTATTGAATAATCTGTTGATAAGCTAAATGCGGTGATTATTACACATTTTTATTTTTTTTGAAAAGCCAGACCATTGCCAATAAGCTCCTACCACACCTTTCTGCGTTTTGAAAAAACATAAGCTGTCAAAATTCAGTTTACCCAAACAGGCCAGGTGCGTTTTCAAGACGTCACCGCACCAGATAAGCTGCCCCAAACGAATCATAAATCTATACATTTTTTTTTACTTTTATGCTTGGAGTTCACCAACAATTTTTTTGATAATAATAATAGAATTACTTAATTTTTAATAAACATTTCCAATTTTTTCAAAATAAGTAAAGTTCATTTACTTACATACCATCCAATTTTCATGGATTTATATATCTAACACTTAAAACTTCGTTTTTTTTATTTATGCTGCCCAAAATTTTCATATTACATAAAAATTATTATTATCTTAACTTTCATGCATGGGTAAGAGGAAATGTGGTATGTTTGTAAAAATTGAAGATTAGGTGTTGGATATGAATACATAGGAATTAACTAGTATATATGTAAATTTTGAATAGTTTTTTAAAAAATAGACTTTTATTAAATATCCCCCATTTTTTATGTATTTACATATTTATCAAAAAAGAACATTGCTTTTTTTATATTAATGCCATTCAAATCTCATACAACATTAAAAGTATCACCATTTTAACTTATAAAAAGTGAAATACACATTTTCATGCACAAATAAGCTGGTATGTATTTAAAAATATAGGTGGTAGATATGTAAATACATAAGAATTAATTGTTATGTATGTAAATATCAATTTATTAGCCTAGCTGAACTATTTATCTAAAGATTATCAGAATATTGGAGGGTCATAAGGTAATATCTTTTTATTTTTTCATTTTTGATGATAATGATATATTAGAACAAAAAAGAAAGAAAAATTGAAAATGTATAATGCATACCTCTTGGCATTCTCTCTTGCGATTGATCTGCATTTTTTACAGTAAAGATCATTAACAGATTGAATTAAGAAATTAGTTTACAGTAGAAAATTGTGCACAAAAAAAAAAAAAAAATTTAAATCCATACCGCTAAAATTCTATGCATTTACATATCTAACATCTAAACTTCAAATTTTTACATTGATGGCATTTTTCTTTTTATGGGAAGATTTACATATATGCCACTTAATTACAATATGTTTACATATTTAGCACCTAAATTTTAATTTTTAAATATGTGTCACCTCATTTATGCATGAAAAAAATGCACTTTTTAAAATTTAAAGTTGCATAATGTTGTTTATGTAATATAAAAGTTTTGGGTGCCATAAATACAAAATGTACACTTTTGGTGTTAGATATGTAAAGAGCCCCAATTTTTCATTTGATATGAAAGATTTTGTAGTATAAATGTTAAAAAACAAAGTTTAAGAATCAGGAACTGGAGGGTATATACGTAATTGCCTAAATTAAAAAAGGTGCATTTACATACACAACACAATTCTAATCTATATACATTTCTCACACCTAAACTTTCATATTTATACACACAACACTCAAACCTTTAATATCACCTTAATAATATCATCAAATACACATTTTCATGCATAAAGTTGAAGCACCGATATATTATGTAAATAATAGAATTTAGATGTGAGATGTAAATACATAAAGAATTGTGTGCTACCCATATTTTATTTCCAAAGACACCCATATATAATGATATGTATATGTGTGCAATTGGAGGCCAGTTCAATGACAGTTTCGGCTAAGCCTCCTCTATCCTGGGTTTGAATCCATCTGGGTCAAATTAACACATATGAGGTGGACAATCACATATTGTCGTCCATCTTAAAAAAAGAATAAAAATAAAAAAAAATATGTATATTATACCATTTATATATGAATTTCAAATATATTTTATATTCATGAACAACCCTTATTTGACCTAATAAATTAACGAGCTAAGCAAAAACAAAAAAAATTGGTGCTCATTGGCATATCGAACAACTCGAGCTCGGCTCGTTGACACCTCTAATTTAAATAACCTCACAACCCTTTATACAAACAAACAAGCAATTGATATAATGATTGCGGCTTTGTCCAAGTTACAAAACCCTCACCTAAGCAAATGCTAAATAAATACCATCCAATATACACAATGTAATCATTAGGCCATTGAAAAAATGATTTTTTTTCTTTTGCAAATTTCATCTTCAATATATGTTTCAATCTTCTCAAGGAATACACAATGAAATGAGATGAGAAGTTAAAGCATCAAGTCCAGCACTCAAAAATAGTAGGCCACACCAAAAATATAACCTACATATGGGTCCAATATATGTGTGTGTGTTTTTAATGATATTTGAACAGAACTAAAAAAGGAATAAAAGAAAATAACATAGAAGATGGAGCAGCAATAACAAAGATGAAATGAAATTTGATTGAAAATCCAAAAACCTGTAACAGCTCTCAAGTCAATTTGTACAGGATCCAGACAGACCAGCTAAAGGTTCATTTGACCTCACAGATAACTGGAGTGTTCCATTCAAGATTACAGAAGTCTTTTGGACTCAAACAGGTTTCATTCTATTGTTAAGACGGCTCCTGAGCTGCAAGAAATTTCAACTGTTGTAGGAGAAACAATATTTTTTCATAATTGCAATAAAATAAATGATAAAGGTTATGTATTTACATATCTGACATCTAAATTTCAATTTTTGCATAGATGCCGCCTCACTTATGCATGAAAAGGTGTATTTTCACTTTTTAAAAGAAAAAAAAATGGTAATATTTTTTATGTGATATGAAAGATTCTAGTGGTATGAATGTAAAAAAGTAAAGTTTAGGTGTTAGATATGTAAATATTTAGGAATTAGGCGTAAATTACCGAAAATTCATGATGGTAGTAGAGATGGGATGATGATTTGATTGCTTTTGTTATGATTGATCATGAATAAATTTTTTTTTTTGAAATAACCTCTTTTCTATGAAGAAAAACAGCTTTAAATCCTTTTTTTTTTTACAAAAAAGAAGGGGAAAAAAAAATTCTCGATTCCACCCCATCATTTTGCCAAATACTAAAATTGTTTTGCGTGGGAAGCTGTAACAGATTTGTTTATTGAGCATGGACCATGTAACATATAATGCACAAATTGTAAGAATTTGAATTACAATTCAAAAGACAGACATTTGTAATAACTAACAATAGCCAAGTTAAACCTAGTTGGAGTAATATAATGAGCAATAGTTAATTAGGTATATAATTAACATTAAATTTGGACAATCTCGAGACCTTTGAAGTAGAAGATAAGGATTTATGAACAAAATGATAGGTTGACAACAGCAATGAGATAGGGATAGTGGTTAAGTTCTAGTGTTGAGGTGAACAAGATTTGCGATGGGGAGATTTCCATCAAATTATTGACGACGAATTTAAATGTGGGGCGTAGTGTTTATGCTCATCAGGTGGATAAAAAGGATGGTTTGAAAAAAATTAGGGATAATTATATACAAACCACAACACAAACATTGATATTTACAAATTAACCACCTAGGTGCTTTTTTTGAACTACCGAACTGATGTATTTACGCATGCCACGATCAATCCATTGAGAATTTGATAAAAATGAAAGATATGGATTGAGATTTTACAATGAATTTTGATATTTGAGTGACAACAATAACAACAACAACAACAACAACGAGCCTTTATCCTACTAAGTGGGGTCGGCTACATGAATCATTTTCTCCATTGTGTCCTATTGAGTGCCCTGTATGAGTGAGAATTTGAGAAATGGATGAAAGAGAGTGATTGGTTTGTAAACAGCAAGTTTTGAGTGATATGTATGTAATTGCCCCAAAAAAGTTAATATTGAGAAGTTAAGGATGAATTGATAGAATAAATAACCAATTAAGGTAGGTTAATTATTGATGAAAATGACAGTTTCTTGTATAACGGGCCATGGGGTGTTTCAAGGAGGGAATGAAATAGGAAACAAAAAAAAGAAGACTAGAAAAGTTTAACAAGATACTATCTTGTGATAGTTAAACATACTTGAAAAAAATTAAAAAGACAGCATTAGCTTTCAAATTGTGAAGACACAAAACTACGAAGGACTTGGTTTTTTTAATTTTTGGAGGTTTGCTTTAGGTCAAATATTTACTATGTTGATATTTTAACATTTCTTGTGTTTGTTGTAGATTTTAGTTGCATTTAGATCATCTCAAAGCCCATTTTCTTAAGGTAGAAGCGGACATTTCGGGTGTATCCACTGTACATGAAAAATTAAACAAATGCCAATGCAGCTCGGCGAAAATCATTTTCTTCATCAGTTGTGAAAACACCATCATATTTTCTGCTCATATTAACAACAATAAGCAAATGAGGTTCAGGAGGAGGAAGCTTAAAAATATTTATCACTATTTGTTAGGAAAAGAAAAGAAGCTCAAACATTATGCAAAAACAATGTCACTAACGAATGCCTCTTATCCAACTTAAAACAAAAATTGCAGTAAAAGGAGTTATCTAAAACATACCATTTCAACATATTTCAAATGTTTGAGAACTTCCTCTGTATCTAACTCCTGCAATAAAAGGGATAATGACAAGCTAGAAATTGAATATTAAAAAGAAAGAGCATTTACATACATACCACATAATTCTTATATATATAACTATCGAAAACCCTAATTTTAATATTTACATGCATAACACTCAAATCTTTAATATCGCATAAAAATACCACTGTCATCAACATTTAAAAGTTAAATACCACTTTTCATGCAGGTATCACACCAAAGTGTTTAAATGTAACTCTGAAAGATTAGGTGCTAGATTTGTAAATATAAGTAAATTTCCCTAAAAAAAGGGGATAGGGCGGCTCAATTATACCTGAGGCACAGCACAATCAGCATGCATTGGGTCCCAAAGGACAGCACATGAACAATCCCATTCATCAGTTTGAACGGAAAAAACTGGGGCCCTGCAACAGAACCTTATTCTAAGAAATAGACTTCACATCTAACTAAACAACGAATTAGAAAATGAATGCAGTATTAAAATCATCATCATCATTTCGCCTAGCATGATATGTGACATCCTAAATATGTGCATGCGATCAAACAAGCGAAGCCAAACTACACACAACAGATGGAATGCTTCCTATGCCATAACAGTGAATGATCAGTTTCTTTTGTTTTAACCATATATATAAAGAAGGAACAAATTGAGCAAAAGAAATGCTAGATTAAGTCAAATCTAGAAAAGGAAACAGAATTTATGGGATAAAACTGACATGACAAAATAAATACATGCAGTATTAGTATATCATTAGGAAAGCATCTGCAGAATGTAACATGAAAACCTGAAGATGTACATTCAATTAAAAAAATGACCGATGTGAACAATAAACAGCTCTGTCTCTTACTCCTTATCCCTCATTGGCATGTCCTTTCTCACTGACAACCCCCACAAGGGCATATCTTGGCAATCAAAATTGCCACTTGCACTGTCGCACTCAATTCTTTCTTGGACTACATGATAGTTACCTTCAATTGACTCATGCTGCCCACAATAGCCTCATGTTCTCGAACCTGCTAGTACCTATTCATATGTGGCTCACAAAGCTTCAGCTTTTGTTTGAACCCTCCATAGGGCTTTATATGGCTTTGGCCTCTTCTTGTGCCCCATTTTTATTCCCGATGTTGGTTCATGATGTTTGCAAGATGGTTGCTATCTATAACCTTACTTTCGCCAGTGTTTACATTCTCATGTGAGGCATTTTTTGCTTGTGCCCTGGTCATTTTGCGTGTGTGGATATTGTGGCTCTGCTATGAGCACAATCACTTAGGTCTAAGCACAGGTGCTCATGCTGTCTTCGGTCACAATACTTAAGAAGACACATTGCTTTGATCTGCCTCTGCGCTTGTGAATATCTGCTCCACATCTCTTGTCCAAAATAAAGTCAAATCCCTTCCGCCAACTCTTCCCTCACAATCCATTTTATCTATTAGGCAATTGTTCATAGAAATTGCAGCATTGCATCCATTGGTGAAGAAATATGTCAGCTAATTCTTTGTAAAAACACATGGCATATAAACCACAGTTCAATTTTTATTTTATAAAATATCTATCTTAACTTGTTTCTTTCTATCATGCTGCACATTCTTCGGTGCAATTCTTTTTGCTAAATTATTATCATAATAGGGTCCCATAGCCTTTTTTCATTTAATCTTTAGCTCTTTAAGGAAAATTCTTAACCACAATAAATCACTTCTCCCTTATTCTATTATTCTGAATTCTGCTTTTGCACAATGTCTTGCACAATATTTTATATTTATGATTCTCTATGCGACAAGATTAACCCCGAAAAAGTGAAAAATCTAGTAAGTGATCTTCTCTACAAGTGAACCTAGCTACATCTGTAAAACTGTAGAGTTCTAACTTCGTATTTGTTCTGCACAAAAGTCTTCTATGATTAGCCTTAGTATTGAAGAACTACATAGAACTGGAAGTGAATTTCTCTCAAGTTATACATAAATTGACTAGCATATTCACAGCATAATGTCACGGACAAATAGTCTCACATCGGCTAGATGTAGGGTCGAAAAACAGTATTTAAGTCTTGGG